ATAAAGTAGTCTGAGCTTTTATTCTTGTATATAGTTTTTATTTTTTATATTTTATATATTAAGGTTAGCAACTCTTTATAGTTACTATGATAAAAACTATTAATAAAGATATGAGCAAGGCCTCATCTTAATACCAAAAAAAAATAATATACGTATATTAAAAAATTTGTAAAAAAATGAATAAAAAGTAAAAAAAAAAATAAATAAATAAAAGGAAGCAACGAACTTAAGGACAAATCTTTACTTCTTTTTGCAATAATTAGATTAAGAAATTTCTCTTTGTAATTGATTTTTTCAATAAAAAACTCTTATCTTAATCTGCATTAAAAATAACTACTGGTGTGATTAGTATTAAACTTGTAAAAATGAATAGTAATAATGAATACATCTCTGATATTAACTGTTCAGATAACAATGAACCTTATGATACTAATGAGGATTCTATTCAAGAATCAAGTACGAATAAAATTCAGATAAGGCTTATTCAAACTAAAAAAAAATTGGCCCCCATCTAGCAAAAGAGCCAGAATCAGTTATGTTTAGGACTATTTTAAAACTGAAAATGAAGAAGATATTTGTAAGATAATCATATTTAAAAAAGAAAAAAAAGATATATATAGAAAAAATTATAAATATAATGGTGAAACAGGAAATATAAAGGTATATCTTCAATCAGTATATAGAATATTGGAAACAGATGGTCAAAAATCTAGTAAAAATATTAATTGCATATTGATAAAATGATTAAAAAGGTGGTTTCATATTCTACGTCTAAACAAACAGAATTAAAACAAACTATAGCTGAATGATTAGTCACTGATTCCCTATCATTTAATACTGTTCACAAAAAAGAATACAGAAAAATGATTCTTTATATAAATCTGGCATTTCAACCACCAAGTAGTAAGAGTGTGCAAGAATTAAAAAAAATTAATATCTACCACTTGTGAAACTGCTTCTATAACAACAGATCTTTGGATAGCTCATAGTAATAATAGTTATATTGGTGTAACTTTTCACTAGTTAATATCAGATTTCAAAATTTATAATATAATTCTGTCAGTAAAAAACATGAAATATCTACATACAGGCAAGTGAATTAAAAAATATCTGCATAAAAAAGTTAAAAAGTTTGAATTAGAAAAAAAATTATTCTGTATAATAACGGATAATGGTACAAATATAAAAAAGCTATTAATCTTTGAAATAGTATTGAACATCTTCTTTGTTTCACATACACACTTCAATTAATGGTTACCAAGGCTTTAAAAATTATTAAACTATGCACAAAACAAATTCATAACCTTATTAAATTTTTTCAATCACCAAAACAAAGCCAACGTCTTGATCGAGCACAAATTGAACATAGTAAAACTACAGCTCCTATTTAATTATATATTTCTGAAGGCTCATCATCTAATCTAGAAATAAAAGAAACAGAAGAAATAGAAAATAACAATAATTTAGAGATATATATAGAACCAAAAATTCTGCATACAATTAATGATATAAGCACTCACTGGAATTCTATCTACCACTTCTGAAAGAGGCTTTTAAAACTTCATCAAGTAATAGACTAGCTCGCTACAACTTTATGTTTACAAAGTGAAGATGGTGCTATAGAAGATTTTTAAATGTTAAACAACCTTGTGCTTAAAGACCATGAATGAAATTTATTAAAAGAATTAGTAAAAGTTTTTAAACTATTTGACAAATTAACTACTTATTTTAGTAAAATACAATATACTACCCTTTCTGTTATTAATCTAAGCATTGAAATATTAAAATTTGAATTTGCTAATGCTGCTGAACTTGCAGATAACTTCGAAGAAACTGTCGATCCAAATGAAAGTTAGTATAAAGTTTGTTTTTTTTTTATAAGCATAGTATTAATTTTTTTTAATTTTTATTTAAGTAAAATATTATTTGAAGAAAAAAGTTCTGATAATGAAACAACTAGCCTCTAACCACTGCCTCCGGGCTCTAATAAAGCAATAATTTCAAAGGTTCAAGGAGTTATATATGATTCTTTTTGGCATTAGTAGCAAGATCCAGAAGATATTAAACTAATCGCTACCTTGTTGGACCCACGATTGAAGTCAATGAAAATATGGCCAAGTGAAACAAGAAATCAAACTATTAACAAACTACGTACCAAATTTAAAACTTGACAAAGTATAGTTGCAGCTGACGAGTTAGATACTGAAGTTGAAGCAGAAGGTTCTTCATCTACATTTTCTTTCATGAAAAAAATATTTAGTTGTGATAAAAATCTGATAAATCATGAAATTGATGTTGATAATTACTTAAATGAATTAGTTACACCTGTGAAACTTGAAACTACCGATATATATAAGTAGTAGCATTCTAACTAATATACTTTTCTAGTTCTAAGCAAGATTGTATGTAAATATTTGTTAATTCCTGCCATTTCTGTTCCAAGTGAACAGCTTTTTTCTAATTCAAGAAATCAAATTACTACCAAGAGAACCCGTCTAATATCTGAATTAATTAATAAGCTATTATTTGTTAAATGCAATATTTTGTATTGCAAAAAAACTTGAATTTAGAATATAATTTTAATATTTTTAATTTTTTTTCTTACCGTTATAAAATTTTTAACCACATCATGTATACTTCATTTTTTTTATAATAAATATAATTATTATACTTTACCTTAAACTATAATCTGAATAAAGCAAGCCATTTTCGAATGTAGGCTTGAGAATTTATTAAAAATAAGATCGAATAACTAGTATTAGTATATAAGATCTTTGAAAAAAAGAACTAGTAATGAAGTAGTGAGATATATTGGTATAACTTTGACCCAAGTTAAATAGATCACCTGATAGACCTGTGTGACCCATTGATCACCTGGATAACCTGCAGGTTCACCTGTTAGGTAACCTAGATTACGTTTTTTTATACAAGTCTAATCACTAATTACTATATAATTTTTACTATTATATGATAATTAATGAAAACAAGCCAATAATGAACAGTGTAATATCATGTGATCAGAAATTTCAAAACAAATATTTGCTTAGTCAAAAATTGCTTATAACTTAAAAATTCATATATGAAACCACTTTCCGCATATTAACAAAAACTTTTTTTGAATAATTTTACTATTAGAATTTCTAAATTATAATTCTATAATAGTAAAAATTTTTCTAATAATGCTGGAAAAAATTTAAAGACAGAACTATCCTAGCAGCAAAACTTACATTTTTGATACTCCAGCACTTACTTTTTTGATACATCTAAACATACTTACAATTTTTATACTTTTTATTAAAGTTTTATTATAAAAATATACAGTTCTATTAGTTAGTTTTAGGATATATTTAGGTGTATCAAAAAAATAAATGCAAAAGTATCAAAAATATAAAATTTGTACTCTAGCATACCCAGTAAAAAAATTAATCACATGACTGATTAACAAAATAGCTAATAAAATTACAGTACTCAGATCGGGTATTACCTGAATAAGTAGATTATTGGGTCCATCAAAATCCAGCAAATGATCTGCAAATCACTGCTGACCCATTATCTTATAAATTTAAAAGTTTTTTAAAACTTCTAGTGATGATTTCTCAATAACTACCTGATTGAATTTGGTAAAAATTTTTTTATTTTAATTCTATAGTTGTGTAGAATTAAAATAAAAAAAAGTTTATTGGATTTGGTTTAGTGGTTATCAAGAAATCATCGCTAAAAGGCTCAAAAAAGCCTAAAATATCTTGGGAAAAAAACTTAAATCGGGTAAATTTTTATTTTTTTTGAACTTTAAACAAAGATATCTCTACA